GAAGACGCGGCTTGCCAAGGTTTTTGGCACCGGCTTCTCAGTGTGTGTGGGACAGCTGGCACCACAGGCTCCTGTCACGCAGGAGAGGACAGGACACCAGAGGGTGCCAGGCACTGTCAAGCTCTGCAGAGGCAGAGATGGAGCTGCAGCATCGTGCCTCCTCAGGGCCTCCTGCTGCCTGGGCTCACCTCCCGGGCTTCAATTACGGTGGGAGCCAAAGAACTGAAGGGGTAGGAGGAAAGGGATAAATTCTTGCCTTGGCTGCACTCATCTGGCTCAACTTCAGATGAGACCCAGACAGGAGAGCCAGCATCCTCATGCGACCTTTCTGTGGGTGTGACGGTGATGTCTCTCCACGTCAAGCCTGGGGTACCACTAGGGCCACCAGAGCCACTGGGCCCAGCAGCAGGTGGAGGTGTTTGCGTTGCACTTACCAGAGCCCCGGACAGGACACATCTCCGGAGTCTGACCAATGGCCCAGCAACGCCCGGAGTCGCAGCAGCACTGCATCTTGGTGTACTGGCCAGGAAGGTCCCCGGCACAGCGGCCCCCGATCAGAGCAGAGAAACACGTCCCAATCCGCTGGTCTGCAGAGGAGAAGGAGACACATTCACAACGTATCACCACCACACTCTCGGTCTGGTCCTTCACTCCCAGTAGGTCTCTTCTGGCCTCCCAATGTCCCAATCCAACCCACAGTTCTGCCTCATCCTCCAGATCACGAGCAGCACCTCCGTCTGCAGAACAGCAGGGCTGTAGGGCCAGGCCTCACTGCCCAGTATTAGATCTTACACTCTGATTTAGGCTCCTAAATATTATAAGCAGCCTGACCAAGAAACAGGCAGTAAGTGGGTAATCCCTCTCCATCAGGATTCTCCGTTGGGATTTTCCTCCTTGCCTGGCTGGAAGGAGAAGCTGACCCAGCAGATTCCAACTGAATTCACAGAGCAGAAGACAGACGAGATCTCCCACCTCATCCCACGCTTCTTCACCTTCCCAAAGAAATGGGATTGTTCATAGGCGTCTCCCTCCTCTCCCTGCACTGATGAGAGGTGTCAGGGACAGGTTCCCCCACTGGGAACTGGGCGGGGGGAACTGGGGCTGAGACGTCCGTTCTTCAGGTTCCTCCACTGATGTCAGCATTCAGTTTGCTTATTTGTGTCACATTTGTGACCAAGGGTTGGCCAGCAGTGCCAACAGAGCAGTACAACAGACCCTGAACTTGGCCACGAGGAGGGCGGTATCTTCTTTCCTGGACCCAGCTTGATATATTTTCCTCTAACTTCTGCCACTAACAACATTTCCCTGTGATAAAAACAATCTGGCACTGCCTGCTACTATTTTGAGGGTTCCCAGGCAGCGAGTGGGCATTCCCCAGCCGTTCCTGGCTGAAGCCTTGGCTGCAACAGCCCTTCTCCTTGTTCTCACTCGCGTAGAACCGAGCTGGTGGACCAAGGTGGGCGGCCATTCCCCACACCGCTTTGGCCAGGCTGGGCATCCAGGTACAACCCTTCCAGCTGGAGTGATCCCCGATGCTAAGCGCAGACCTTTGCACAGCCACCGCCGTCCAGCGTGGACCTGCCTCCCCTTCCCAGAACGGCACATGTCCCACGTCTCAGGCTTCCCAGGAGGAAGCAGTCCCAGCCAGATCCCAGCTGTCCCAGCACCTCTCGCTAAACAGACGGGGTTGTTCCCAGTTCCACATCAAGCCTGATCACTCCCCTTCCCAGCGGAAGCCTCTTTCAGGTCATGGGTTAGTTCCCAAAAGCCTGGGTTGAGCTGGGAAGAGAAGGAGCCCTGGACGGTGGTCAAAGTCCACGAGCCTGGCCAGAGCCACAGAGCCCAAGCCTGGCAGCGGTGTTTGGTTGTGTTGTGGCTTCTGGACAAGGTCCAGGAGACTGAGGGGCTTTCACGTGTCTAGCAGGCTCCGTCTGGCACCAAGTCCTCTAGGAAAACCTGGAATCTTCCACTCATTCATCTCCCGTCCTTGTTTCTCAAGTAAATTAATGAGGAGGAAAGTCTGGTCTGATTTGTCATCTGTGCCTCTAGACTGACATTAGCCAGCAGGCTGACACTTTCCTGAAATATAATTGAAATTAATTGCATGGAGCTGTTTGATCTGTGGGCTGTGGTTACATTTCTTCTCTAATCACGGCTCTGTGGCTTGCAGAGGACAGTGACCCCATTTAAAGCCAGGGTGACTAAACCAGCAGGTCTTTTCTCTGAAATCTCCTTTCTGCAGCACGGAGTTCAGCACGAACTATTCCCTTTTAGGAGACTTTATCCACCAAAGAGGCTTGTAGAAAGAATGACAGACCTCCAGAAAGAACAAGCCAGGGCACGACAGCAGGGAAAAGCTGCACCTCAAACCCTTCATGGGAGTTCAGTTAAGCGAGAGCTTAGGGCTGAGCTTACATGACCTTCTAGATCAGTGGGTGGCAGTTCAGAAGAAACCCTTGAGGCATTAGAGAGGATCCCACCCGGTTCCTTCTGCTCTTCTCTGGGATGCTTGTTGTCCTGAAGATTGCGATACACATCGACAAGCAGCCGCTTAACGGACAAGGAGCCGCATTCCCCATGGACAGACACGTGCTGACAAGTTTGACAAGGCAGGGAGGTCACAGCAGTTTGTGTAACCGAGGGAATGGTCCAGCCCTTATTCATCTGGACAAATGTTTATTAAATTCAGCTGTCTCTGCCGCAGTTTGCAATAATCTCTCTCAGAAATGAAGGTCAGAGCTAATTGAAAACTCATCTGGAGCTGCCTTGGGCAGAGAGAGGGGTGGGTGGAAAGAACAGCGGGTCCCTGCAGTCCTCCTGTGACCTCCTGCAGGACCACCCACAGGCTGGAGGTACCAGCACAAAGCCCTCCTGGTTTTGCTCTGCCCTTCTCCGCAGCAGTTAAGGGAGCAGGTTTGCACAATAACCTCAGGAAATCAGATATAAAGCCGCGGGCGAGAAAGGAGGTAGAATTCCACATGAGATCAGACAGCGCATGGAGGTGGGAGATAGAGCTCCAGGTCTGTCAGAGGTCTCTGAGTCAGAAAGGCTGGGGATGCTTCACAAGGTCCAGCCAGGAGCAGGAGAGCAGGAGTTGGATCTTGGCCTGCTCATCGTAACGGGACAGGAGCGACTCCAAGCTGGACCTCCCTGCTGGGGTCTGGCAGAGTCCGCACCACGATGCCCAGGGCTGTGTGTCCTGATGCTCGGGAGAAGCGCCAGGAGCTGCTCCCCCAGAGTGACAATCCAGCATGGCTGATCTCCATCTTCCTTTTCAATGTGGACATCTTCTTCGTGGTCTGCACAAGGTGTCCAAGATCTGTTGTGCAAGAGATCTTCCAATTTCCATCCGGGTTCGTTTCTTCAGTGCTCAGGTAGAGGCAGGGAGAGACAGAAAGTCCTGGTTCTGCTCCCAGACTTTCAAGGGTATTTCTCTCACTTGGTCATGTCCTGTACGGAAACTGAGAAGCTCAAGTGGCCAAACCCAAACAAACAAGTGGTTGCAAAAAGCAGTTGGCTCTGACTATGAAGGACCTGAGGGCTATTAGCTCAGAAATGAGCTGCACACAGGGGTGTGGAGCCAAAGGTCTCCCACCTAAGATGCCCAGTGGTGCTCAGTTTCCAAGGAAGAAGGGTGCAGAAAGAAGCCTCACATTGTGGTGAGGACAGTCAGTCTGGACCCATGATGCCATCAGATGTTCTCACATCACTTACCTTTTTGTCTTTTCTTGCCCTCATAAATATCTCCTCAGGTTTCCTTTTTTTTTGCTTTCTTTTCCTGACTGAAAGTGGCAAAAAGGATTCTCCAGGCAGCTGCAGTTCTCAGTAACACTCTCAAAAATCTCTCTGAGCCCAGGACCTTGCAACAATAAGAAGGATCTGGCCCTACCCAGAACTTCAGGCAGTAAGTCTGCTGATGGATGTAGCCCAAGAAGAGGTAAGATCCTAATCTCTCAGAGCTTTTGCTGCCCTATCATGGAAAAAATACCAAGGAAAGCAATGTGCAGGAGTGCTGACTCGCAACAAAGAAGGGAAGACCACGTGCATGTCTGGAAATGCATCTAAAAGGCCATTTTTTCTCATTTGAAAATCATTCTCTTAAGCTATTCCTGAAAAGCAATCCATCACGCTGGAAAGAAAAAAATCACCCTCAGCCTCACAGCCGGCTGGAGCAGATCCTTCTGCTGCCGCTGCGAAACACCGAGCCCGACTTTTACAAGCTTAAATGAATGAAACTGTTATGAACATGTGGGGAACTGGGCTCTTTGTGTCAGGCACAGGTGGTTGAATCATTCAATAAATGCTCATTTCAGCCGATGACGGACTTTCTCCAGCTACGCTGCTGTTTGTGTTTCGCTGAGGAAGGCAGTGAAAGCAGCTAATGAGATTTGGGATCAAGTCAAGCTCAGCGTCTTGCTGTTTCAGCTGCAAAAACTACAGGAGATTATTCAAATGCAATAAAAAAGGCGTTTACTAAAAAGGGAGGGGAAAGGGATGGGAATACATCAAGGCTGCCACTATAAAGCCACCGCGTAGCCCGTGCTGGTGCCCTGTGATACGTGAGACACCGCGGCCACTTCCAGTCTAAACACCTGAGAGGCGGCAGCGTGACAACATCTTCTGCTCCCTCCTGATGCTGTTCATGCTTTACGGCTGGTCAGCTTATTTATTAATTTTTCAGTTTTACAAAACTATTCGTTCGATTTATTTCAGGGGATGTAAATGGTGGTTTAAAACAAGCATTCCAACCCCCTCAAACGATAGAAGCGGGGTTTGCAAAATGAGGATCCCAGGGCAGCAACACCCCGATGGTAACTGTGCGTTTTGCCAAAAAAAATATTGTCTGTCCCAAAACGTGACAGCACACCAGCAGCGTATATTAGCTCAGGGAAATGGCTAGAGCATGATGTATTGAGTTCAGATGCAGTCATAGTCCGCTGCAGCTAACTAAGCTTTGGACTATTTTTAAATTCAGGCTTTCTAATTTTATTTAGTTTTCATTTCTTGAAGCACTTGGTTTCAAGGAAAGTGAGGAAATGTCCGTATGACTCACGTGACAGCCGGCACACCCCTCCGGGCTTACGGCAGGGGCTGCGAAACAGGGAGAAAAAGAATTTCATTCTCATTAAAATCTATCAGATTCTCAAACAAGGTGACTCGTACATTATACTTTATGACATTTTTCTTTCCGGAACTAGAACATAATTAATTTTTACTCAGGGTTCTACGGGTATAAAATAATTTGGAAATGACTTTTCAATTTTTTTCTGGATTAATTTCCAGGGCTTTCAACGGCGAGCCGTACCTGACGTTATCCATTGCACTAACAATGATCTCTGCCTTTTCCTCTAACAGCTCCGCTTCAGAAATCCCCACATACTCGCCTTTCGAAAGGCAGATGAACTTTCTGAACAGTGAGACCAACCCTGGGATTCATTTTGACTAAAGCAAGCGCCCCTGCTGAGAGCAAGTAAGCAGAGAGCTGATGTATTTATCGTAGGAACTGTTGTCTGTTAGAAAGAGAAATGGACCATCAAATATTTACAAGGCTTGGAAAGGAATTTTGATCTGTTAAACATGCCAGATCCACTCCAGGCGCTGGAGGCTGGAGGCAGGACAGCTCGTCAGGCTGGGGAACGCTGGCCTGGACAAACGCCAGCTCGGGGAAGCTTTGAAATACAGACACCTCGAGCCAAACCGCGCCGGGGCAAGGAGGCACACGGAGCGAGCACCAACCCCACCAAGCCCTTCCTGCGGGACGGGGACTGCAAGATCGTGATTTCCAGCCAAGCCTGGAAGTCGTTTTGTTGCCAGAAATCAGCCACAACTGGGGAAAAGAGCCTTCTTCAGCTCCGTGCCCTCCGATTTGCAAACGCTGTGATTTGCGAATCCCCAGCTCCGGGTTTGTATCTGCGGACCCGAGATCTATTCAGCATCTTACCAATGCAGCGTGATCCGTCAGGGCTGGTCATGAAACCGGTGGATCCATGAGTAGAGCTGGGCTCACAGGTCCTACGGGCTGTCATGGGATGCTTGAGACCATAAGTGGCCTCAAGCAGTGGAGCGGTGTGGAAAACAGGACTGCCCCAGAGGTGGGACACCAGGGGCTTCATGGAGTCCTCTGCTTATCTCTGCTGACAGCGTAGGTCTTTGGGTAGGCTGATCTAAAATGCTGAGCTCCCTGGAGTGCAAAGGAAGCTTCAGGACAGGAAGGTGTCGGTGCGACGCACGACCGGCTGGGCAGCTGGTCCCTCCATGGGACTTCAGACCTCTCTGAAAGCAGAGCTGCAACATCAGAGACAACAGCAGGCTTTTAAAAAGCACCGGGCTCGTGCATTATTCACCGCATTTCTCCATCCAGGAGGGATTTGGTTCAGTTCTAAGCACGTTCAGGCATCTAAATCCAGGTGAAAAGGCCTCTGTGCTATCAGATAGGCAAAGGACATATCACTCTATGGGTTCAGCTCCTCAGTCAAGAGTCCTATTTCAGTGCGAAACAATTTGCATAACAATTCCTTGAGCACGCCACGGTTTGAACCATTTATCTCGCCACAGGGAAGATCAGCGAGATGGAGATACACGTTGCATCCTTGGAGAGATCCCATCTCATTAGCCACTGCAATCAAAGAACCACCACCCACGCTGGCCAGCCCTGCCTCACAGCCAGCTTCTCCACCGCCACGTGTGTGACGACACAACGTACCAACGAGGTGCATCACTCTGGAGTTAAGAGCACGGAAAATAAGGACACGGCAACAAGGTTTTGTCGAGGCGTGACAGCTGGATTCAGACATCAGAGGCACCGAGCAGCCTCAGAGACCAGATGTGTGATAGTAATTGCAGGAAGGCTACAAAATTCAGAGAGACAATCACCCCCGTCATGTACCTTCTGCCTTTAGAACTTGCTCTACCAGCATCTGTTTAGGGTGGAGATATGGCAGAGCCTCACCGTGAGCTGAACATGGAGACTAGACCCATTGATGCCCGGGTCTGGATCCTGAAACGGAGCATCTGCATTCGAAATCTTGCTCAGCATTAGATTTTAATCCGTGCTGGAAGAACCGAGTTTAGAAAGATGAGACACTAGAGGGTTTGCTTGAGAACTGTAGAGTTCTCCAAACTTTCCAGGCCATTTAGATTAGAATCTGGAGCAGGAAATTCAGCAAGTACCTACACAGATGATACAGAGAGTGACAGCCTCTGCCTTCTGTCTGCAGCTATCACTTGGGACCTGAAACTTAAAAAAAATCAGAGTGGAAAAACTTTGAAAAGGGCAATCTGTTCTCAACCAATTCCGTCCAAAATGTCAATTTAATTAAGCATACAGGGCCCAGCCATGTTTGTGGGGCACTTGACTCTAACGACTTGTCTGGGAGCAGGGTTGTTGATTTTTTTCTATTGCCAACTGAAACCCGTTTCAGAAGCTGAGATGGAATTAGATCCAACCTCTCATTAATTCACCAAAGCCGCTGGTTGGTGGTCACGGTCCAGGTGGTGGAATATTTGCCCAACAGCTTTTGCAGCAGCAAAAAACAATATGTCTTGGCAATTGGCAAAATAAATTATTTCTGCTAAGCAACTTCATTGTATTTTAAATTTATCGTGCTGTTGTGAATGGATAAGAGGATTTTTATATGCAATTCGGATGTTGCCTGGGGCTGGCAGGCAAGTAATGAAACGGAGCTGGTCAAAGTTTGCTCCTTGGAGGGGATTTTTGTGATGTGAAGAGCACAACAGCTTTACGCAGCCTGATGGGGTTAGCGAGTGTGGAGGTGAGAGCTCCTGCAGGGCAAAGGCAAATCTGAAGGAAAAAAAAAGAAAAAAAAAAAAAGGCAGAACAGCAAAGACCTTTCACCTGGAAGTGGGGATGGAGAATGTCTCTGGAAGAGTTCCTCTGGCAGACTTCAGCGATGAAGACAGCATGAAA